CTATTATTATCATAGAGGCAGTTTTTCATGTGTGGGTCCCCATCATAGCCTTTTCTCATGAAGAAGGAGAAAAGTCTGGGTAATTATAAAGGTGCCGATAATGGCTTTGCAATGTTCATGCTATTTCACTAATCGGGACTCTGTTAATGTGATTTAGATCAAGTCTGAGCTAAAACTTATCATTTTTAGTACAGAACACAAAGAAAAAAACATACCAAGAGAATGATTAGCATAAATATGATTGTCATGGAAACAGTGCCTATTTCAGAGAAAAGGGTATGCTTTCCAGCATCTTAGAAGTACCTACTCACAGGGGCGCCTGGGTGGCGCAGTCGGTTAAGCATCCGACTTCAGCCAGGTCACGATCTCGCGGTCCGGGAGTTTGAGCCCCGTGTCAGGCTCTGGGCTGATGGCTCGGAGCCTGGAGCCTGTTTCCGATTCTGTGTCTCCCTCTCTCTCTGCCCCTCCCCCGTTCATGCTCTGTCTCTCTCTGTCCCAAAAATAAATAACAACGTTGAAAAAAAAAATTAAAAAAAAAAAAAAAAGAAGTACCTACTCACATACAATGAAACACTAATTATAAATCATTTTTATTTTCTTCATTAAAGCAAGTACTCTAAAAATCTCCTTTCAGTGAATATTTTGTTAGCTTAGTTTGAGCTATTATATATAATTAAAACGAGAGATTCTCTGCTCAATTATGAATAGTTTGTATTTCATACTTTTCGTAAATTTTTCTGGTTTCCTCCATCAACGTGAGGTAGGCTTTGTGGTTTTACCTGTGATTTTCTTGAAGCGTATTGATTTACATTTCTTTCTTTCTTCTTTTTTTTTTTTTTTTTTTAGTTTACTTATTTGAGAGAGAGAGAGAACATATAAGCAGGGTAAGGGTAAGGACAGAGAAAGAGGGAGGGGAAGAATTCCAAGCAGTGTCCTCACGGTCAGTGCAGAGCCTGACGCGGGGCTCGAACTCACAAACTGTGAGATCATCACCTGAGCCCAGATCAAGAGTCAGATGCTTAACTGACTGAGCCATCCAGGCGCCCCTGATGTACATTTCTTTGGAGTGTGCTGGTGGTGAACTGCCCATAAAAAATGGGAGGTATATATATTTCCCAATATAACCCTACACAGTCACATATATGTGAATATACCCATTGTTTAATATTTAGAATATACTTAAATCTCTAACTTCTACAGGAACGTATGGAAGAAAAAGCACACATGTCTAAAATGTCATGTTTCTCTCCTGGCCTGCAGTATGATTTCTATGTTTGCGGACAGTTGGATTTTCACAAGTGAACTACGAGGTAGGAGGCAGTACATGGAAGATGAATGAGCATTGACTCCGGACCACGTATACACTTGCACCCCGCCCCAACACGTTCATCTCGTGTTCCCTTAACTCCACTGGTTGTAAATGAGCTACAAGATATGGGAAGCAAAAACAATATGAAAACAGGGAGGGGGGCACAACGTAAGAGACTCTTAAATATGGAGAACAACAGAAGGTTCTGGAGGGGTAGTTGGGGGGGGCGGATGGGCTAAATGGGTAAGGGGCCTTAAGGAATGTACTCCTGAAATCACAGTTGCACTACATGCTAACTAACTTGGATGTAAATGAAAAAAATAAATTAAAAACAGATATGAATTGAGGCCATCTCCTCTATGACAATGCAAAATTCATTAATTTTGAATTTCAAAGCAATTCTTCAATCTACAACCCTCCCTCAGCGTAAGGAATGTCTGTTAGGCCCCAGGGCCAGGCAGCCAGGCCTCAGAAACACAGGCCCCGCCCCTCGCCCCTTGCTGACCCCACAAATTCCCCAGGCCTGCAAAGAAGCAAGAAGACTGGTGGGCACCTCTCCCATGTGGCCTGAAGTGAACCTCCCTTCACTCTGCTCAGCTCTCAAGGCTGTTCCAGAACCTCCTCCTGGACGTTCAGATAGCAGCTCTGAGGATGGGCGTGTGGAGCCCCGGGAGACCTCTGGATGGGGCTGAGGGCCTTTTCGTATCCTGAGCACATCTGTGAGCCGAGGGGGCACAGAATGTCACTGGCAGAGGAGCCCCGAATTCCAACATCTCCTTTCCGATCTCACATCCAGGCCATGGTCCCCTTTCTGTGGGTCTCCCCCTCACACACAAGCAGGGTAGAAACTCTAGTTCCTGTGCACAGCAGGTGCAGCTAAAGCACCACTGGGAAATAGGGTTGTCCCTCGCTCCCAGGTGGGGTGGGGACCCAGCTGGTGCTCTGGGGTGCCAGCCACCAGAAGTGATTCTGGTGATTCAGTTTCACCCTGGACAACTGGAGTCTTCCTGTAGTTTTGCTGGGGAAAAACATTTTATTGCCAACCAGGTTTGGAGAATTGAGGTTTTCACCATGGCTTTTTCTTTGTAGCTCTCAGCAGAAGACGGTAGGAAAGTAAGGGAGGATGATCGGAGGCTGAATCAAAGCAGGGCCTCAGTCCCTGGGGGCAACACGCGAGTACGTAATGGTGGGAGCAGGACATTGCAGGGTTTTGCAAAGTGTGTTCTAAGGAACACCAGGTTATTCGGGGGCAACCAAAAAGTGTAACTTTGAAAAGAAGGTTCTGGGGTTGGTCTAACTCAGGCCAACCGTTCTGGAAACGTGGGCCGAGACCAGGGCCATCAGCACCACCCAGGAAACTGCTGGAAATGTCCATTTTGGGCCCTTCCTGAGGCTGGCTGTGTTTTTAACTAGCACAGCAGGTGATGCACGCTCCAGTTTGAGAACCACTGATTTAGGGCAACACTGGTTTCGATAAAGTCACACAGGCTTCCTTCCTGTATAGTTCATTCCAACCTTTAGTAAGCTCAGTCTTATCGTGCCTCTTCAAGAAGCAAATAAAATATACAATTTTCTTCCAAATGTCTTTGGCCAGGGAGGCCTGTGTTCGGGGCGTGTAGTCAGGGGATGCTGCTCTGAGAGCCCCACAAGCAGGTGAGGCACACAGGGCAGCACGTGGCACGGCAACCAGGAGCCACAGATGGCTCCGGCCGGGCTCCCAGGGATTCACAAGGAGTGCTCAGCAGACCCTGGAGATTAATTTTGAGCTCCGGCTCTCCGGGCTGTCACGGAACACCAAGAGTTTTTTTTTTTTTTTCCTTCTTTTTTCTTTTTCTTTTTTTTTTTTTTCCGGAACACCAAGATTTAAAAAAAGAAAAAAATGCTGGCAGGCAAATGTCAAACCAACCCCCTCCAGGAAAGGCGCAACTTCTCCCAAACGCTTGGGAAACAGCCAACCCGTCTTTGCAGGGCAGTGATCATTCTCTCCAGAAGGTGGCGCTCTCCGCCGTAATTATTTTTAGGTTCTGGATGCAAACAACAATACTGATAAGGGCTGACGGGATTGAAACTTAGCTAACGGAATCTACATAGACGGTTTCCTACGGAATCCTGCTTCGTGTCTGACCACGTTTTGGGCAGTTAATGTTGTTGTCCCTCGGAGTGACTGAAACAGAATATATGGCCCCTGGGGGGTAGTGGTGTGGAAGAACATAATCATTTGGTGGCACATTCTAAAGCAGGCGGGCCGTCTATCAGCTATCTTTACTCCTTTCAGTGCAAAGGAAAACGTTGAATGATTTACGAGCAATCAATGGGGACTGGCTTAGAGCAAGACGGGAGTCAGATTTTTCTTTTTTCTTTTCCCATAGACAAATTTAACCCTGGAAGCTGAAAACTGGGGCTGTAGAAACTGTGGGATTTCCCTGGGAAGTCACAATCGGATGTTTCGTCCCTTCCTGGGGTGGGGGGGGGGGAGCAGCTTGAATTTCTTCTTTATATTCATTTTGATAAGGTTTAGCAGATAAAAATACAGGGCACTGAGTTAGATGTAAGTTTCAAATAAGCAACAAGTAATCTTTTTAGAATAAATATGTCCCACACAGTGTTTAACACATGCATGTAGTAAAAAGAAAAAATGTTCCTTGCTTATTTGAAATTCCGATTTAACTGGGCGTCCTCTACTTCATCCGGCAACCCTACTCTGGAATGATAACCCCTTTCCCCGTTCTCTTCCTCTTTGTCCTCCCCCAGCCACATTTCTGAGGAGACCCCGTGTGAGGGTCACGGCTGAAGCAGGACCTGGGACCACAGGCCATACTCTGGTAAGTTTCCCCTATGTCGTTGGGGTCAGGTTCCTGTCGCAGGTTCTCAGAACTGAGGGAAGGAACACGCAGCAGTTTCTGTCCTGGGTATATACAAGGGGAGTTAAAAATTCTACCCCTGCCTGGGAGGTTCCCATTCAGTCAGTCTGGCTGGGGTCTGGGCACATGCATTTGAAACTTTTCCAGGGGATTCTGAGAAACACCAGGGTTTCTCAAGCTGTGCCTTGCTTAGGATCCACCTGGAGACCTTGTTCAGCGGCAGATCCGGACTTCGAAGCCACGGGCCCCCAGAAACTGCATTTGCAACAAGCCTCAGGTGATGTTGATGCTCTATGTGGACCACACCTTGAGTGGCAGGATTTTTGAGATGAAAACCTGGTAACTGTGAAACCCCTGAGTGTTTCTCGAACGCTCTGTGAACATCACCTGATAACATCCCTACCTTCCAGCCTCTGTTGTATTTCCATTTTTTTCTTACAACAACAACAAACAAACATCCTGTGCCCTACGTTCACAAAAGGAATCTAATGTTGGCTAATTGCAAGGTGTTGGAGCTGCACCCTCTCTCAGAGGCTTCTTAACTGCTTTCAGCTTCCCCGTTAGGCATCGTCCAATTACTCGGATGGTTCACAGGTTGAGGACTCAGGGAAGGATTCACCGGAAGCGAAGCAAGGCTCTTTCGGATAAACTCAACTTACACTTGCTTCACCTTCAATTTATGTCCTAAGTTTCCTTCCTGACACTTTGCAAAATAGTTTCAGCAAGTGGGAAAGCGCGTTCGTCCCTTTAGCACCACCACAACAGACCCGGCAAGAAAGGAAGGAAAGAGAAAAAACCAAAACCCAACGGAAGCCACTAGATCACCTTACCGGGGACTTCTTAATGTCGGAGACCGCGTAGTTCCCTTGTGATATCCATCTGGCTGAGTCAGTTAAAGACAGGCCGGTCCCGTAAAGGTTGATGCTAAAACGACCCTGGAATAAATAGCCAATGAAAAAGACTTTTAGTCCACGTGATGTCCTAAGCAAAGGCCACACAATGAAGGGCCCTTGGAAAGGAGAAGGACATTAATTAATTACGATAGCTACTAATTAATGAGGGTGGTTTTTTTTTTTTTTTTTGGAAGGTGGGGGGAAGTCTGGGCCAGGCACTTTACATGCATGCTCACAAGAGCTCTCTGAAGGCGTTCTCTTTACAGATGGGGAAACTAAGGCCCGGTGGAGGTGACTAGCTTCTGCAGGAGACAGTGCGAGGCCAACTCACATTTTCCTGACTTCAAAGTCCTCGCTCTCAACCAGCGCCATTCTGCCTCCCTAACCCAGCAATCCTGATGTTGCTCACAATTATCAGATTCCTTCAGGAACAAAATGCCACAGTGTAATTTTTCTAACAAGATCTCGCTGCCAAAGCTTCCCGGGCCTCCGCTTCCCCGCCACGCTGAGCACTGCGCGCCCTAAGCACAGCGGGGCGGGACTTCAAAGGACAGGTGCGCTCTCCGGGACGGCCAGCAGAGGGCGCGCGCGGCCCGTTCTACACAGCCTGCAGCGGGACCGCCTCTTCCAGGCCGGGGATCCCGGATCCCAACCCGCTCCAGGATTCCTTTCAAAACCGGGCCTCGGTGTTTCCACGTTTATTTCTAAGGAGACGCCGCCGCAGAGCTCCTCTCCTGTGTTGCCCATCTGTCTCTGTTTCTCCCTCGCTTGCAAAAATGACTCCACAAAGGCACCTGAAAAACTTTGCTGAGGCTTCCTCCCCCACAAGGAGCGGTTTCAGATCTGAAAATGTTCTGCACCAACACGCTCGCGGTGAATGTTTCCTCTCGGAACCTGACACGGTCCCGTACTTTGTCAAAGCAGTCTTTAATAAGGCGAGGCGGACTCCGCGCCGGCCAGGCCTATGTAAAAATCGGGCTCTTTCAGGGAGGGAGAGGGGGGATGAAATCTCAGAACCTCAGTTTGTCCACCTGTAAAATGGAAGCTAGTAACAGTATCTGCCTCAGCCTACTGTAGGGAGGGCTAAATGAAATTAGCCATGCAGCACACGGCTGGTACCTGACTTCAGAAATCCTGGTTATTGGTTGTTTTGTGTTGGGTGTCTCGCTCCAAGAGGAACAGTAGACTTAGGGGAGGGACTTGGTATTGCTTTATTTATATCAATAATGGTCTGTAACACATAGGCGGTTGATAGATTGTTAATAAATATTCCATCCTGGCTTGTCCACTATGACCTGGCAGGACTAGGGGTACCCTGCAGGCTCCCTCTCTGTGTCAGTGCCATCAGTATTTCCTAAGCAGAGGCTATCAACCCCTTTGGAGCCTTAGATTCCACATGTATGACATGGGGACAAAATAACATTCCAATTCTCAGAAGTGATGCGAGCATCGAAGTTAGTGGCTCTCCTCAGGGGACGATTTTGCCCCTGGGGCGAAATCTGGCAATTATCTAGAGATCTTTCTGGTTGTCATAACTGGCAGGTGTGTGTGTGTGTGTGTGTGCTACTAGCATCTGGAGGGTAGAGACCAGAGGTACTGCTAAATAGCCTGCGATGCACAGCACAGTCCCTACAACAGAGATCGATCCAGTCCAAAACACTGATAGTGCTGACGGTGAGAAACTCTGGTTGTGACCGTTTGGATTTTTCCTAGAATCCAGATTCCTCTACTTTTCGTGTAGGCTTAACTTTCCTGAGTCCATCTGTAAAATGGGTTAGTAACGCCTACGATGCAAATAGGAGGGGGTGAGGTAGAAGGTCTAGTGCATGTAACTCATTACCTGGCACAGAGTAGGTGATATTTAAATAGTATTTTTGGAAATTATGACAGTACCCTACAGGCGTTCGTGGTTGGTAGGCGAAGTGGCCTCAGTAAGTGTCCGTGATTGTGGCTGCCCTGAGGCACGAAGCCCAGTGTTGCCCGGCCTCCTCAGATACACACCTCTCCCAGCTCTGCTATCTCACCTGCTATTTCCTTATTTCACTCTCCTGCCTGTCCTGAGGCCGTGTTCACACCGTTCATTATGACCAGACCCCACTGCAGCCGAGGATCCCTCTCTCTCTCCCTTTCCCATCCTGCTTCCCATGCGGATGGTCTGTTCCCCCTGCACTGCAGGAGAAGGTAGCGTGATCTGCTTTGACCTCAAGGTTCCTGCAAGGTCCAGGCCCCTGACCTGCCTTCTGGCCCAAGAACTCCCCCCCGCTGATCCGGGCGTCCGGTGTCTAAGCACCTTCCATACACACGTCTGGCTAGATCTGCCCTCTCGGAGCGGGTGACAGACCCGATGGAACGGGCGGTCTTCCTCCTCGTTCTCTTTCCACCTTTTCCAGCACAGGGGACCTACGTTTTCAGCTGATAATGACCACCTTAAGTTAAGGGTCCCGTGAGGAGTGGAGAGTTACTGTCCTCTGAGCTCCAGGTGAGACATCTTTGCCCCTACAGCCCTCATCTTCGAGGGGTAGAGGGTGTGAATGTTATAGCTACTACCTCCTGTGGCTGATTTAAGAGGGTAAAAGTAATTCCGGGTTATGCATGCACTAGAGGATCCAGAGGGATTTGAGAAAGATGTGCCTGAGGCTAGGAGAGGTTTTGTTCTTTGTTCAGACAAAGGAGAAGGCTGCAAAGTCCTCTCTGCAAGTGGGGTCAGGCAGACCCATCTGCCATTGTGGATTTGCACTCAAGACACATTTGGGATCAAATCCCGCCTCTACTGAGCACCAGCTGTGTGGGTTTGGGCAACCCCTCCCCCATGTCTCTGTGACTCCATTTTCTCATCTGAAAAGGGGGGACATTCTCGCTGGTGGCTGCTGTGGGGTGACATGCCACACCGACCTAGGAATGCTGAGCCAAGTCTAAACTCTAGTAAACACTCAGTAAATGCTACCAATACCAGCATCAGTAACAGTAACGCCGCATCCCCTGTGGTCAGAAGAGGAAAACACATCCTGGCTACATTTCCCGTTGAGGGCCCTTGGGGGACCTGCTCTTACTGCTAAGTAAGTCGCCAAAGCCACAGTGTGAACGAGGAGGAAACAGCACATTCCCTTTGGCTTCTGTGCAATCAGCAGGTCACAGGAGGGGCCGACTGCTCCAAAGCTCCTCGCACAAGGGTGCTTCTGCGGACCTTTTCCTGGAAAACCCGTCTGCAAAACTCAGGGCTTTCATCAGTATACGTAGTTGGTGCTCAATAAATGTCTAAGGGATTGAGTTCTGAAAACCCCTGATATGGCTTGAAGAACAGGCTAGGAAAAAATACAAATTAGCTTCTCACGGGCTTTGGGTTTTCTCATTTAGCAATTGCTTCAGGGTCAGGATTTAGCAAATCAATAAGTTCATTTGTCTCTGAATTATTAAAAGAAATGAATGCAGATTACCTTTCATTTACCTAAACTTCCCCAAAGACGCGCAGAGAGAAACATGAAAATCCTCAGACTTTTGAAAAAGGCAGGACAGGGCTAATCTATTAGCTGTTAAAATGCAACCCACACCAGTGGGGTGTTTGAAGTCATCTGCTGCTCTAAAGAAACAGCACTTCAAAAGTTTTCAATTCCTGGGTAATAGAGGAGAGGCCCCCTTTTACCATTATGTCCTTTGTTTATTTTCTTTCTCCCTGAGAGCTTCCTTTTCACTTCCCTAAAATGTTTAGCATTGCTTTCTGAAGCTGGGGGCTGAGAAAACACTTTGTTAAAAGAAAATTCAGATGTGTTTGTCTTCGGATGGTCTCTGATTGGGCCTAAACCCATCCTGGGGAGATGGTGTATTCCCAATGCAGCTCCCCGTCCTGGTCCCCAGACTTTTGAAGGCCCGGGGGGGGGGGGGGCGGGGGGGCGGAGTGGGAAACTCCTGGCCCAGAGTTTAGCAACGGCCTCGTGAGGACCCCTTTAGAACCAAAGCCAGAACTGGGGCCAAGTTCTCCTGGCCGGAATCACGGAATTCGTCACGCCTTCTCAGGGCCGCAGCTTCTTTCAAAGATGATGCCGATTTTGCAAAAGCGGCCCCAGGCAGATCCTTAGGACAGCGCGTTTCAAAATATCCACACCTCCAGGGCGACAAGGGCGTGCGGCAGTGTGGCTGGGCAATGAGATGGCCGCTGAGTGGCTCTGCTGAACAGCAAATCCAGCAGATGATGATAAACTTGCCCTTCGTCTGGACGCTACACGTTTTATACATCTAAGGAGGGATAGCAGTTTTTCTGTCACACAACGTTTACAATTTGTAACGGCTGACCGTGGTGGTGGGTTAGAGCGCGCTCGTCCTGGCTTGCGAGAGCCGATCGTGTGCATTTCTGCCGGACTCCCCATTTGGGGACGTAATGCTGGTGGCTTGAAATCAGTTACGGGGCGTGGGGCGGGGCGGAGCGAGAGTATTTACACCTGGGAGGCTGGCAAAAATGCTACAAAGCAGGACTTGTGATTTTCTTAAAGAGCCAGTCATGAAGCCTATACCGGCCTGTCACTGACTGTATAACATTCACTCTGTGAACCAGCACGGTTTGTTTAAGCAAAACCCCTGCCCTCTGATGCCTAATCTGCTTCCAGATGTTTACCATTATAGCAGGTGCATTTTGCTGCATGCAGAGGTTTGCCATGTAGCTCTGAGCGGTTCCTTAGGAAACACTCCTAGGAGTGGCATGGCTAGATGAGTAGCTCGGAGCATCTCTGAGACGTCCTGCAGGGGGCCAAACTGCCCTCCAGAGCAGCTGTTCTAACTGTATTCCCGGGAGCAGAAGCAGCCAGGGGTCCCCTGCGGGCACGGTGGGACGTGGGTCCTCGGTGGGGGGAGCCCTTAGCACATACCTGCGGGCACTTGGCAGCACTGTAGCAGTCCCCGGCTGTGGCAAAAGGGACAGGGTGTCCTTCGCTGGTCCGGGCAAACTGTAAGTCAGTGGCTGCGGGGTTTTGCAGAAAGGGAGAGAAGAGAGAAGTCCGAAAAGGTCCAGAAGGGAGGACAGTCACAGGGAGGCGGGAGGGAAGAAGGATAGTGAGAGAAAGAGTAAGAGGGAGAGCGGAGAGAAAAAAAATACCCGAAGTGTCATTAGTGAGCAAACAGATCCAGATGTGCAACAGATCCAGATGTGCACTGCTTTCCCCCTTGGATCTGTGGTTCAAGAGCCTCGCTCCCTGGGTTTTATCTGCACGGTCTCTCCATGGGAGGGAAGCCAAAAGGGGGGTTTAAGATGACTTTGGAATCGATTCTCACATAAATAAATAAATACGTGAATCACGTCCATTAAAGGTAAGCGTCACTGGATGGCTGTGAGTCTCCTGCGTACAGCCTCCCAGCTGTAAGGATGGGAAGAAATCGGCTACAAAAGTATCTCCAGCTACTTAGGAGTTACTTCCTGGGGCTTTAGCTGCCCTCCCATGGCCAACGCACTATGCCTGCCAAAATGTGGCGCAGTTAGAACCCTCATCTTGAAAGTATTAATGGCAGTTTCTCAAGTTTGGGGCTACCTTGGAGTTTCAAAAAAAAAAAAAATCCAATGAAAACAATGCTTGTGTTTTTAACCTCTTCATAGCTCCGGAGAGCAGCTCTACACAGAGCAGGAGGAGTCGAAGCAAGGATCTCGCAAAAGCCATCGCTGGTGGAAGGAGAGGCCGCTTTTACCTCTCCCCCTTGCCTTTCGGGAACAGCAAGAGCCCTTCATCTTTCTATAGTTAACCAAGCTCCAGTGGGAAGGAAGTCTGAGCTCCCTGTCCCGCAAAGAGAGGGGCCCTTGTGGCCACAGCACACCGAAGCCCGGAGTCTCGCTGGAGTGTTTTTCTAAGCGGAAAAACTGCAGACTCTCGGCCTTGAGCCCCCATCAGGCTCGGGGAAGGTGATAAAAAGTAGCTTGGTACAAATCAAGTTTCATCCACCTCGAGGGGAAAGCGATGCAATATTACGGGAGCAACGGTAATGAGCAAAAATTAATTATTCATTATTTCTGTTTTTCCTCTATTCGAGGGAACACGTTTGGATCGTTCAGCTATCTACAACCACGCCTGTGATTAACGTCCCTACGAAAAGGAAGTGTTGGCTGCAGGATGAAATCAGCTCACGCGGAGGCTGGTTACAAGAGGCAAGCCCGTGGTCCGCTTTTCTTCTCTGTAAATCGACAACTGGATAAAATTAGCTGTGTGCCCCTGCGTGTGTGTGCACTGTGCAGGGGGGAGGCGGTTGGGGGAATGGAAGATTCCATGAGAATCTCTTTAAGGCATGCAGCTGCTCTGTCTTCTCCCTTCAAAGCTTCTGCTACTACCCTTCCTTTCCCCACGCCGATACCCTGTGCCTGGCTAACTGCTACTTGACCTTAAGATGTCAGGTTCAGTGTCATATTTTGGGGGATGCCGTCCTGACTCCCCCCACTGCAGTGGTCCCCTTTTAGTGGCCTTCACCTACTCCACGCGTTCGTTTCTCACAAATCTGACGGGAGCTCCGCCCTGGGCAAGGCACCTTCCAGGGACTGGCTGTACAGCAGTAAAACGGAAAGGAGCCAACCCCGCCCTCACGCAGCTTGGACCCCAGCTGTCGTCGCTGGATGGCAAGGCAACCCATCTCGTTCCCCCGCAGCATCTCAGAGCCTTGCCCCCGGCCAGTGTGCGGAGTGCAGTGCCCTGGCTGAATGGGGAGAGGAATGAGCACGTCCCTTCTCCGTGACATTCTACCGGACTTACTTATTATCTGCATCGTGGTCAGGTCTATTCTGATTTTCTGGAAGCTGGAAAACCCAGCTGCCGTGTAGTCCTTCCGACACTGGCAGTCATCCCGTCGGCTCCCGTTGTAGGGACATTCGGTTGGGTTGTGCAGCCTACGCCACAGAGAGAATGTTCTGGTGAGGATGGCAGCTACTTCCGGGGCATCTCCAGCTGTCTGTGCCCTTCCGAGCCCGAACGCTCCTACCTGTGCCCGTATACCTCGGAGAAGTTTTCTGAGTCACCGTGGACCAGGGTTATGAACTCTTTGGGGTGGTCAGACTGCATCCCTGCACAGAATATCTGAAAGAGAGGCCAGAGATAACCTAGGAAGAGCAGCTCAGAGGTGAGACCATGGGACCCAGGGCGACTCACTCTCCAATCATTCTAGAAATAATGACTGATATCCATCGTTCACCTTCAGGAGCTTTCCCGCGATGAGCAGAAAGTATTCACCATCTTCAGTGGCACCTTTCAGTCTCTTTACCTCCTTGCAGTTCTGGGGTAACTCACCTAGAAACCACGAAACGTACAAATGGAGTGTGATGCTCCCGGATCCCCCCGCTGTCTGCCTGGGGAATGAATGATACTGTTCACACTAACACTTTGCAGCTTGAAAAGGCGGGGGGGGGGGTGGGTGGGGAGGGGTGGGGATAATTTCCTTAGAATAAATTCTTTCCCTTTTTGGGGATAAATGTTTTTTTTTCTTTGAGTTTTAAGGAGAGGTAACTGACCTATAGCAGTGTATAGATTTAAGGCGTAGGGCATAGTGGCTTGACTTCTACAGATTGTGAATAGTTACACTAAGTTTAGTTAACATCCATCATTTCCTACAGATAGATGTATAAAAAGGTTTTTTTTTTTCCTTTTTGATCAGAACTTTTAGGATCTACTCTCTTCGCGACTTCCAAACGTAGCATACGGCAGTGTTGACTATGGTTTTCACGCTGTGCATTTCATCCCCAGCACGTATTTATCTTATAAAGTCTCTATTTCCAATGAGGGTGGGCAAACGAACAAGGAAACCCTGGTCTTCGTGCTCCGGAGAAAGGGCTTCAGCTGGCCCACTTACAGTTATAGACATTGTGACAAGTTTTCCTTTCCTCTGGCTTCAGGTCGGCAGGGCATAAGTGGCTGGGCTGGTCCTCGTTGGTTAAACACTGCACAGATCTGTGTGTCACTCCCACACCACAGGACACTGAGCACTGGAAGGCAGACCAGAGTCAGTGATGCAGCCCCGGAACCCGGGAGGCTTGGGGTCTAGTGACGCGGGGCTCACAGCTCCACGTCCGAGGTGTCATTTCAGACCCTAGGCTGCTGAAAACAAGTGCTGACGTGTGTGCAACACTTACAGTGGAGCAGTCTCTGGGCTAAGCATTATACATCCATGTTCATATATGCGTGTATCTTACCTGTGTATTTATATTTACATGCATAACATATATACTTATATATATGACATATATATACGATATATAATTTTCTCATTTAAGCCTTACAAAAATTTTCTGAGATAGTACTCCCATTATTCTATTTTTACAGAGAGGAGATTGGGGCCCAAATGTCAAGAAACTTGTTCAAGGTCATGGTAGAGCCAGGATTCAAACCCTAACCCCTTTAAACCGATCCTGTACTTTGTCTCATTGCTTGGCCACACTGAGAACCTAGTAGGCAGGAGCCAGGGGGTGGTGGCAATACTCCAAGGACAGTCGCAATTTTAAATGTTCTCGCTTATTGTACGCCTAATGCAGTGAAAGACTCCCGTTGAAGAGGGACTAGAGTCTGCTGACTTCTTAACCGCGGAAGCAACAACGAACTCTTCTGTAACTCTTACTAGGTGACAGAGTTCTGGGAGCTGGTGTGGAAAAAGATCGCGGTAAAAAAAGCGTAACGTGAAGTGTGCTATTATGATCTATGAGCTGTTTACATATTAACTCGTCCCTTCTTCACCACCACCCATTTTGCGGATGAGGAAACAGAGACACAGAAGTGTTGCACCTCTCATTCAACTGGCAAGTAGGAGGGCCAGGATTCACAGGGCGGGCGTCTGGCTTCGGAGCCCGTGCTCTAAGCTCTGGGTTTGGCCACCCTGCCGAACGAGAAGAGAACCTTCTCTTCCCATCAGCCCACCTCGAGGTGCTAACGCCAGTGTCTCCCCAGCATCCCTCCCGGAAGGAGGATCCCTTGGGACGGCTGAGGCAGGACATGTCTAAGATGAAGTCTGGGATCCCAAAGCTTTCCCATTTGATCACTGAACAGTCTACTTACGCTGCCCCAGTTGCCGACTCTCCAGCTGGCCGACACAGGGCACTCCCTCAGGTAGCACGGATGGACGCTGGGGGGCTGAGTGCCCGGGCAGTTGACGGCCGTTTGGTAGCTGTACTCATAATTCTCCTTCCCGGTGTAAATCTCGCTACAGGAGACGAGCCTTTGTCTGTAGCCCTTTCCACAGGTCACTGAGCACTGGGAAAACAGGGGGTGGGAGGAGAGGCTGGAGCAGCGCCTGGGGGCAGCCCACAATAGGCCCCTGACCCCCACATCCAACGTTGACCCCGGACGACGCTGCAGAGAGCTCTCACTTTATTAGCTTGTTTGTGCATTGCAAGCGGCAGGCCCCGAGCGCACCGCGGACAGACAGCCCTAAAAGTCGCCTTCGGGGATCTAGTGTGGCCCCCGCTGTGGGACGGGGCGCCCTGAGCCCTTGCTTTGGATTTCAAGGGGAGGAGGGGAGGAGGGGAGGAGGGGAGGAGGCTCCAGCTGTCCCTGGTTCCATTTAGACGCTCCCCAAAGCCCCACTGCACATGCTTCTCCAAACCGGAGATGTGGCCACGGGGGACGGGAGGAGGGCGTGTCACAGCTCACCTGAGTTACAGGTGAAACCCAAGCACTTAGCCAAAAGGGGACTTGGGCACAGTTTTCCTTTCCTGCTCCGCTCATTTTCCTTTCCCGTCTGCCCCACACTCAATCTCCTTCTCTCTTTCCTCTCCCTGCCCATACGTCTGGACCGATAATGTCACCCTTCTGCTCTCCTATCTCTTTGCCTATCTAACCAGATAAGGCGGTCACTTTACCTGTTGACCATCATTACACGGCATTTACAAATAGGCAAACAACACACCAAAGGAGAGAGAGAGGACGTCTTTACTAGTGTCCAAGATCCTTCCTGTGATGAGACACCTAATTGGCTATTGACGCCATGTTCCAGTAGGTTCAACCTCCCACGCTAAGCACTTGATACACTATATTTAGAAAATAAAAGTGCACTGTAGTGAATTTAGTTTTGATGGTGTTTTTTAGACAATGTGGTCAGATAACCGGCCATCCCCTGGGAAGGTGTCACATAAAATTAAGTGAGAGGATCAGGATTCTCTAGACTAAAGGTTGCCGGAGGCGTCCTGGATGAACCCCCGACACAGTCCGCAGCAAGTGGTGTGGTCTGCTTTTTCCAGGGGGCGCATCCATGAGGTCTCACTAGCTATTAAAAGCCACAGTGTCATTCTTCCCTAACATCTCCTGAGCTGGCGCTTTCAGCCACGTGGCTTTCGTCTCCTAAAACTACCTGTTCCAGGGAGAAGACACCTCTTGAAGAGGTCCTGGAGGCAGGAGGCTGACAGGCCCAGCCAGAGGCACACGGAGCATCCCTGGTCCTTCCTTTTCAGATGGCTCGAGACCTGGAAATGTTGTGCATGTTTCTTCCTTCTTCGCCACTGTTCAAATGCTTGAAGAGCCAGCAGAGGCCAGGCCCGGGGAGGGCGAGGCTGGCCTGGGGTGTTTCGCGTGTGGGCAGATCGCCAGCCAATGCTGGGTCTGTCTAGGCTGGGAGGGAGGAGGGGGGACTGGCGGGGAGGAGGGAGGCAGGGAAGCTCTTACTCTTGACTCTCCATGCCCTGGGGGGTCATGTGCTTGCTTCACTATGAGCATGTATTACTTTTCTAATGTGAAAGTAACAGCAAAGCAGGATGAAATGGTAAGAATGTGCGCTCCTTGCATTAATGATGCACTTCAGGCCTAAGCCGAGAAATGCATGATGAGCCAGGGGTGATGGGGTGATCTTTTCCCATCTGGCCCAGGCCTGCTCAAATTCAAGGAGAGCTCAGAGAAAAGCAGTCAACTCTCCAGGGGACAGAGGTCCTAGAGAGAAGGCATGGCTTGCTGTGGCTCTTGAACTTTTCCAGAAGCTTTTCTAGAGGGATTTCTGGTCCAGTGGGCCTTGCATCCATGTGAGGTCCTATCTCCAACCCTTCTCCACTTTGCTATAAGTTTCCAGAGTTTTTAATCCATGATACACTTGAGAATTTGCAGAAATACTGAAGACTTTTTTTTTTGGAGAAGATTTGGATCTTCTCCAAGTCTCATCTGTTGGGGGTTAAGATTAAGGTTAAAATAAAGCTATAGGAGTCACATGACTCAGTCTTAGATCGCAATTCTTTTAGCATAATGATAACACACAAAAGACTGGCTAAGATGAAAAGTGAAGAGGCCAATGTTTGCAGTGTGATAAGTGTAGAAACTCCAGAGAGATGAACGACCAAGAAGTAAGCCAGAAACTAATAAGAGGAGGCCTCCAGGAGGCAGAGAGGAAAGCTCAGAGAGCTCAGAGGCCTGAGGAGCAAGAGAGGCTTTTCCCTGCCTGGTGGGGAACCAGGCAGTTACGGACCTGAGAACCAGAAGTTATGGACCACGCCTGACGAGGACCGGGGAGAAGTGAGTTGAAGAGAAGAGAGGAACCCTCCCCAGACGCTCTCCCCCAGACCCTCCTTGGAATCTGGATGGGTTGGAACCTATGCCTCAAACCCAAAGTCAAGGACTATTTTGAGCAAGCATCTGGACTCCCAGGTTCCTGGCTAGCCAATGGTAAATGTACTTCCTAATGATTTGGACCATGTCTCCCTTCCACTCTTTAAGAGTCGGAGAACATGCAGAGTCAGGGTAAAGGAGGGTTTCTCAACTTCAGCACCATGGCCATCTGGGCCAGATAGCTCTCTGTTGTGTGTGTGGGGGGGGGCGGGGAGGAGGGGTGGCTGGGTGGGGGAGGGCTGTCCCACATACTCTAGGAGATTTAGCAGCATCCCTGACCTCTACCCACTAGATGCCGGTAGCATCCCGCTTCCTCCACTTGTGACAACCAAAAATGTCTCCAGACATTGCCAGATGTCCGCTGGGTGAGGAAGGGGAGGCAAAAATCAATGGAGCAAAGAGAAGAAGGATGGGGAGACATAGTTAGAAAGGACTCTAGGCCAGCTACAGTGAAGGAAGCATTCACCACCCAACACACATATCATCTGCATGCAAATATTCCTCCTATTGAAAATGTGAGACCGCTGCCCTGTGAAACTTTGCTATGAGCCCAGGTAATTCCGAAACCTCTAACTCCTTTTGGGCAAATGACAACTGGTTTGGATGTTAGAGGTCTTTCAGTCTTTGAAAATATTATGAGGCAGAGAAGGAAGTAAACCATAAGAGACTCTTAAATACAGAGAACAAACTGAGGAGCTGCTGGAGGGGAGGTGGGTGGGGGATGGGCCAGGTGGGGGACATGCATTAGGGAGGCCACTTTTTGGGATGAGCCCTGGGGGTCATATGTAAGGGATGAATCACAAATTCTACTCCTGAAATCAAGGCTACAGTGTACATCAATTAACTCGAATTTAAATAAATAAATTTAAGAAGTGTTACGAGGTTTGAAAACAATGTGATCGTGTTTGGTCTATTAATAATAAAAAGTTTCTAGATTAGGCATTGTGGGCAAAAGAAGAGAAGAAAAAAATTGATTCCTTGAATACTTTGGAAAATCATTTGGTTCCCGTATCTGGCCCACGGAAGCGTTTGCTTCGCCCCACATAACGTTTTCAAATAAAAATTGGAGTCCACGTTTTAAAGTTAGGAGACCCCACATAAAAGTTCAGATTTTTGTCCTCCTTGAAAACCCAGGTCTGGTACCACCGGACCCACATTTCTGCATGGCCTCTGCTGGAGAGGGAGGGAGCCTGCTCCCATCACACGGGACGTGCTTGTTTGTCACAGTCTCTGCCATTCCCTGTTGTCTCCCCGACGCGAAGGGCATCTTCTTACGTTAACTCTCTTCAGACACCAACAGGCATCACATGAACTAGCAGGCCCTGTGATAATTCCTCCTTTATCATACCAACAGGACATCAAGGGGAATCACAGGACTGAGGGGAACCGAGAGATCATCTCAGGCATCCTCCTACCTTGCACATGGGGGGAGGGGTCTAGCCCCAGCAGGTGGAACTGGCAGGTGGGTCCCAGTCTCCCCCGTTCCTACCCGGAGGTCACTCTGTTGCCTTCAGGCCGTCGCTGTCCTGAAGGCGGTTACAGAATCCCTGGGACGTACCTCTGACCATTCTCCTGTGATCCAGACATACTCGCAGGGCTGCAAACTACAGCTCTCCCGGTCCGCAGGCCGCTTGCTCGTGTCGCAGCGTAGGCCGTGAACCTCAGTGCCTTTGTCCACATCCCAACACACCACCTTGCGGTACCTGGAGCCCTCGCCACACGTCTTGGTGCACTGTTCATGACAGACAGAACAGGTGTTGACAAGGAAAGCTAATAAATGGCTTATTATATGCTGTTTTTGTGGTGACTTATTTTCCTGTCTTGTCTACCCTTTAGGAATGTGAGGCCTCTGAGGGGAGGCATGATCAGAGGACTCGGTGTCTTATCCCACTTATTCCCAACACTGTTCCTGGCACAGCGATAAGTGTTTGATAAGTGGCTATTGGAGGGAAGGAATGGAAGCATGAATAGAATGAATGTCAGGTTTGGAAAGGACCTTACGGCTTGACGGCTTTACTCACACAAACATGGACTCTCTTTAAAACTTACAGCTAAATGATTATCGAACGGTGTCTAAATACCTGGAGAGTCAGGGAAGTTGTTACGTGTCCAGGTGGCCCATGTTATCTTACGACTACACACACCAATTTGCAGACCGCAGCCTCGTGTCCTAGTTGTCGACTCCAGGGGAGCACGAAGGACAAATTTCATTTCTCCCAAATCGTCCCCCTTCCGGGACTTGAGAGGCTTTGCTTTACTGTGACACCTTCCCCACCACCTCCCCCGCCACCCCACCCCCAACTGACTGCGTTTTCTCCTCCAGGATGAAGGGCTCTCATCCCTCATTCACTCGGGAAATATTCACCAAGTTCCTAGCATCAGGGCCTGCGATGGGTCCTGGGTCAATAAGAACGGACATGCGCCGCACAGCCCTCAGAGAGGAGCTTCTATTTTAGCAGCAAAGACAGACGTTGAGGACGGAGACAGCTAAGACTTAAAGGTTACTGCAATCTCCATTTTTCAGATGGAGAAACTGGGACGTAGCCGAAATGCCTTGTCCCAGATCAAACACCTCTTTGTGAGGTAGATGGGACACATCTTTTTATTCCACCAAGTGAGGAAAACAGAGCAAGCAGTACGTGCTGTTCCAGGACCCTCTCTATGCTGTCTGCAAGCTCCCTATCTTTTTCGCTTTAACCAACAGCACACCCACCTTTGAAGTTTAACCTGGTTATCTGTGTGCTAAAGGTTTCCCAAAGCCCGTCCTATCTAAAGCATCTATTGTGTCCCAGCATTTCAAGACTGTAAACCACCTTGGAGATCCACGGTGAGCTAATCTGGGGACTCGTGTTGCCTTCACACCAGGGATTACGCGTCCTATAGCCCCTGGGCCTTAGCTAACTCATTAACAACAACCGAGAGTTGTGGGTAGCATGGTATCTTTTAAACTTTCTCTTCTCAAAAGTCTATTTAGGGGGCGCCAGGGTGGCTCCGTCGGTTAAGCACCCAACTTCGGCTCAGGTCATTGCCTCGTGGTTCGTGGGTTCAAGCCCCACGTCGGGCTCTGTGCTGACAGCTCCGAGCCTGGAGCTGCTTCCGATTATGTGTCTCCCTCTCTCTCTGCCCCTCCCCCACTTGCTCTCTTGTACTCTCTCTCTCTCCCTCTTTCAAAAATAAATATAAAAAAAATTTTTTAAGTCTATTTAGGGAGACCCATGGACCCCCACCTATCTTTTTCTCCTCTCACACCTCTTTCCCTTTGATTACCTGCCTTGTCCCACAGGCATTTCAGTTTGGACTCCAGTCTGACTCTGAAAAGTCTCTGCAGATATGTCTTGTGCCTCGCTTTTTTGGCAGTAAAATACACCTAACCTAACCTAACATTGATCATTTCAATCATTTTAAATTTTTTTTTTCAACGTTTATTTATTTTTGGGACAGAGAGAGACAGAGCATGAACGGGGGAGGGGCAGAGAGAGAGGGAGACACAGAATTGGAAACAGGCTCCAGGCTCTGAGCCATCAGCCCAGAGCCTGACGCGGGGCTCGAACTCACGGACCGCGAGATCGTGACCTGGCTGAAGTCGGACGCTTAACCGACTGCACCACCCAGGCGCCCCTTCAATCATTTTAAAGTGTACAATTCAGTGGCATTTAGTCATCTGCAACGTCGTAAGATCGTCATCCCTATGTGCTTCCAGAACATTTTCATCACCCGAAAAGGAAACGCTGTACCCATGAAACAGTCAGTCACTCCTTGCGTCCCCAACCCCCCGCCGGCGCCCCCCCCCACCCCCAGCCCGTGCAACCACCGAGCTGCTCTCTGTCTATACGGGTTTTCCTGTTCTGGCTGTTTCATATGAATGGCATCATACAATACGCAGCCTTTTGTGACTGGCTTCTTCACTCAGCCTGCTGCTTTCAAGGTCAATCCATGTTGTAGCATGTATCTGTACTTTCTTCCTTTCTGTGGCTGAATAACCATCTGTTGGGTGGCTATACCACATTGCGGTCATTCAAATGACAAGGGACATTGGGTTGTTTCCACCTCGTGGCCATTATGAATGGTGCTATGAACACTCACGTCCAAGTTTGAACATGTGATTTCAATTCTTTGGGGTGTACCCCAGGAGTAGAAATGCTGGGTCATCTGGGATACCCCGTGCCTTTTGTGAGCCACTTTGTTCTTTTAGGAAGTAAAAGGGATATGCGATGTGTCCTGCTAGCCCCTTATCATTTGCAAACTTAACTCATAGCTTCTGCTGCTTGGAAGCGAACCTCCACGTCTAGAATGTGGAGTCATTTGAATTTTTCTGGGGCACAAATATGAATTGAAAGTTCTCTGAGGTGATGAGTGCAGATGAGCAAATCACTTCAAAGGGTCTGGGAGGTTGGTTGAGCCCGGTTCCCTAGATCAACCCTAGCTTGGGGTTTTCTGTTCCTCTGGAGTGTCCTGGGTACTAGTGTGAAGAAATAACACTTTTGTTTATTCACACACACACACACACACACACACACACACAAAATCCCAAATGAGTTACAGAGCCACTGAATGTTCAAAAGCAAAACAAAGCCATGGTTAATCTGTGATGTGTATACAAATGCAGAAGAAACACTTAACTGCCTGGAGAAAAAGTAATTCCTTAGAAAATCAGGACTTAGGCGACTCAGATCCTGATTACTGAGCGGCCCAAACTGGACTAAACCTTCCAGTGTCTTCTTCATTAATCCCTCGGGCTCTAATCTGTGTCAATAAGTAACAGTTTCAATAGAAATGCAAGGACTTCTAGACACATATTTGCTTTTTAAGGGCTTCTGCCTTGGTGTCCAGGAAAGGTTAACTACCATGAAAACTCTTTTGCCGACCGGTGGAGAAGGGAGTTAGTTGGGAGACCTTATGAACATTGCTTTTAGAAAAATTAAGCTAGGTAAATAAGTGACTCGTCCAGGGTGTTGGAATTAGTCAACAGCAGCTCTGAAAGTCACCTGGCAAGGCTTTTCTCCTGGGGTGCTAACTAGAGCACGGGGGCTGGAGGCACAGAAAGCAAACCCACCCAAGCTCCTGAATTTTATCAGCTTTTGGGAATATCACTGCCCACCAAACCCAGAATTAAGGACTCTTTCTATGTTCTATGTTCTATGTTCTAAAAACAGCCAGAAAGTTCAACTAGCCTCATTTGCACTTCCAAAAGGTTTTCTCGACTCTCGTTATAGTGCTGAGAAATAACTATAATTCATCAAGCCACGGGTCACAGGGCTGCACTAAACTGGGTAGCTTGCTCATCGCCCCGCAGGCTACATATGCCTTTAAATGTGCTGAGATTAACAGGAGGAAAAGAGCTGTGGACATTTGAGAATGAGGAAGAGCTACCGTAAACTTTTAAGGTACTATTTTGTTTAACCAGGTAGGTTGGCCACAGGGTAATGGTCTAAAGAGGGTCCTTTAACGCAGGGAGTAGAAACTGCCTTTCCTTAAACATGGTAATGAAGTTGCTTTACACTTTTTCATGAGATGCCCTAACCATGGGGAGGAAAAAAAAAAATCATTTCATATTTACATGCTCTACCTTTTAAGGCTGTCGATTTTGTTCACGGACAAAGTCGTTTCCAATGCAAGACTACCATTGTCAGAGAGCATGTGGACAGACAAGTGACAGGACAAGTGGGGACCTTGATGGCACAGTGTTTTGTGTATACTCTGCAGAGTTTTATGTGATAAGGCACAGTAATTACGAATCAATTTCTAACGATGCTTTAAATTAAAAAAGAAAAAAAGCAGTCTTCAAATTACTAATGGGTTCTTTCTCAAAGCTCATTTTAAAGTCAGGTGTGTGGAGTTGGGACATTCTTGCCCCCAAACAGTATATTTATAAGGGAAAAAGGCAGAAATAGGACTATGGAGATATTTGATAACTTCCAAGTTATTCACTCATTCAACCAATATTTGCAGGGGACCGAGTTCTGTGCTGGGCCCTGGGATACAGTCCTGACATCTTCCTACTCATGTTCCCTCTCTGTTATGACACCCAGGTGGCTGCTACTCCCAGCTTGCTGTCCATAAGCCAGGGCAGCCGGCTACCTGGTGACCATCGGCATTCAACACTTAGGGATGCCTCGTATGGCCAGAGGAGCAGGTGCGGGTTTCGTAACAGAGCAGGATGGCGAAAAGAAGCCACCAAAGGTGTCCCACAACTGTGACAGCAAGAGAGGAGTAAGGGCGAGGGTCTAGAATTCCCATGGTGCCAAAAGGGGTGCCCAAGCAGTGGATGAAGAGATGGGTTAGCCAGGCAAGGAGGAGAGGGGACATTCTCAGGACAGGGCTCAGCATGCATGGAGGCTGGAGGCGAATGTCGTGGGGAAGCCGGGCTGGGGACCAACCACCGCAGTTTGGGGCTGAGACTCGGTTCGAATCGAGATGGGAATTTCCGAAGGCGGGCAGGGGCCAGGTCACGAAGGCGCTTGCTAGCCTCCTACACTGCTTGGGGGAGAACCCACACCCTGGCCCTGGCCTACGAATCCTAATCGGGGCGCTCCCGCAGGTCCAGTCTTGTTTCAGCCTTCTGGTCCTTCACTTGCTCTGCTCCCGCCATGCTGCACTTTTGTCTGGGCTGGACCCTGTCCTCTTCCTTCCACCTGGAATCATCTTCCCCTGCCCTTCACCTCCGACCACCCTAAAGCAGGTAGGACTGGCCTGTCATTCTTTGTCTGTATCTCAGTGCCTTGCTTCTTTCCG